GTGAATTGAGTATATCAACCCATAAAAGATATACTAACTATAAATACATTGGGATTAAAATACTCTGACCAAGACTTTATACTTATAAATACTAACATATTTAATTAAGCATACAAGTCTGAATTCATACTAAAATCAGTGTCACTAGGACAGTACAAAAGAATTACGATTGTTGAACAACACAGGTGGACTTAGAGACATATAGTCAAAACTGGGAAGATATAGCATGATCAACTATATTATCCGAGGGTTGACTAGCATGTGCCTAAGTATAGTTGTGTGGTTGCAACAAGTCTAAAATCTTACCAACTATACCACAATGAGAAAACTAGAACGTAACATTAAACTTAAAATACTATAGGAGTATTTTGTGCTACTACAAACTATTTATACACTAGATTCTTATACCACTCTTTTCGTGTAGATTGAAATGGCTGGATTCCATCATGGCGACCCGCACTTTCCACCCAACAGAAATGTTGGATGGCTTGGGGCAGAGTCTGATGATGAGCACCAAATCCCTTTAGATGATCATCAAGCAGAAGGCTTTTCTGATGGATTTGACTCTGAGCCTGAAGTCAACAACCTACCTCTAGTAGGTCAAGACCCAAACAACAACCCCCGACCAGCTTTTCCAGGTCCTACACCCTTGTGGGCAACCAACTTGAATCGCTGGAGCGATTAACAGGGTCAACCCTTAGCATACTTTAGGGACCGAAGATTTTACAACCTCAGCAAAGGTGGCTCTGCGGATCAAGCTCTACCCGTCATCATCCGCATAATAGCCCGTAATGATGAACAAGGTCGAGCAGCCATCGACCGAGTCATGGAGATTGATGCCAATTCTGGTGTCAACACAGTCCACATCCGTTGTCTTAAGGAAGAAAAGGAGCGAACCAGGAGAACCAATGAGACCCTACAGCAACAGTTGGCTGCCTCTCAAGCCGAAGTCAGGGAACTTCGAGCTCGTCAAAGGTGGTCCGTCAAGTGGGAGACCTGAGGGTTCGCCCAAGAAATTCCCATCGCCATTAGAAGATGTCTAGTACGTCGTCATTAGAAGATGTCTAGTCCATTTCCAGAAATCGAAATTCTAAAAATTGCAACCTCTACTTGTCGAGTGCAAGAACAAACTTGATGAGTAGCTTGCATTTGGTCATGGAGTCGTCAGGTCCCCCCATGGACTCAGCGAGTTCATACGAGCAGAAAATAGAAAAATCGATTTTTTTAATAGTTTGCACAAAAAATCAACAAACAAACCTAGGTTCTGATACCACTGATGGTTTTGAGCATTCTAACACTTCCTAAGTGTACATGAAACCCTAATAACATTGGATCTATGTTTTTCTAATTATCATGCAAAGTTGATTTCCAAGGCTATGATCCTATCTAGCATACATGGGGAACAATTTTAACTTGAATAAAAGATAGAACTACATACCTTGTTGTTGCTTTTGATCCTTGAAACCTTGTGAGCCTAGTGGTGGCTGTCGAGGCCAACAAAATTAATACCCTAAATATAACACACTAAAATAGTGTATAGTGGTATAGGGATCGAATCCTCGAAGATTGGTTCAATTTATAACTCTATGAAAGATCTCTTTGTAAAAATACTTGGAATATGACAATAAATTAAAAATGGGGGTTTTGATGTTTTGAAATACATGAAATAAACTAGAATTAAACTAAGATTTAAATAAATAATTTCAACAAAAAATAGGAGTTTGATGTAAAATCAATAAGAGAAGGATGCTTGACTTAAGGTTTCCTCACATTGACTTTTGATGAACATATCATTAGAATCCAATGGTGCAATACTTGTTTTAAATTCTTAATTTGGCTATAGTACTACAAGAAGCTTGAGATTACCTAGACTTTTCTTAGTTGTTAAAATGGTTAGAGAAGCTCATAACAATTTCCTTAGTCAAAGTCACAATTTCCATTAAGCATGTTATTAGTGAAAGTCAACTAGCATTAAGAACCAAAAAGTCACCAAATCCAAGAGGGGTCAAATGCTTTCACCACCATGTTGGAGGAAATGTTTTTAAGATTGTGTGAAGCAAAAACAACACAAAAAGCATTTGTTGCATGCTAATTTGAGGATCCTTTACTTAATCAATAAATTAGCCAACTAATCACCACAAACACATTTAAACTCATGAATAAAAACATACTAGTAGTGATAATATGATAAAACACAAAACATTTCCATAAAGATTTAAGAACAAGTTCATGGATTCTTCAACATTCAACAAATGTTTAAAGGATTCAAGAAAAAGTCAACCAATATTAGTTTAGCCAAGCATGGCTAAACTCAAAGAAACAAAGTAAGAGAAGATTGTACCAAACATTAAGCAAGAATCAAGAGGTAAAAAGATGATGTTCTTGAGGTGTTCTTGGCCTTCAAAAGTCTTCAAGACTCCAGAGAGAATCATCAAAAATAGGATGTCCAAGAGTATGCAAAAGATAGGCACCAATGTTCCCCATATAGCTTAAAACATGAATTCTTGGAAATTCCCCTGCAGGGCCTTACGTGACCCGCGTGCTACTACGCGAGTGGTGCCTGACAAGGGCTTCTTTGAGTTTTTGGGTCTCCAAAACATATCCCACTAACCCCGATCGAATCCAATCACCTCCTACCCCATTTTCTTCAAGTTTTTCTTCACTTTAAGCCCAATTTGACCTCTCCAAATCCTCCAAAGCTCGCTCGATTAATAATCTACGCACGCATGAATAAACTCTCGCATCTTGGAAATTTAAAGTTTATTTCTCTCCAAGCCTTCAAATAATCATCAAGCTCGCTCCATGCATCATCTCCACAATCACCAAGCCTAACATCCTTTTTGTCTACCAAATCCCATCGCTTCCCATACATCCCGAACACTCCCGCTCTGCTAGACCCGAAGACCTGCAATTATGCTCACAAGATTCGAAAGTACCCGAAATAGTCATAAAATAACAAAAAGGAACATATGCATGGAAATTATCTAAATTATGAATGAAGTATGCTAAAATAAACTATAAAAAGAAGTAAACAAAACTAAGTATCAAATCACCCCAAGCTTAAACCTTACTTATCCTCAAGTAAGACAAGACTAAACTAAACTTGGGATGAACTATCCTAAGAAAATAAAAAGAATGTATAGAACCATGGAACCTAATCACCGTTAGTCAACATGGTCAAAATTAATCTTGCTATTATCTCACAACTTTTTCATCCGATGACAATGAAACCATAAACCACAGCCAGGACAACTCCTTTAGGTGAGTAAGGAGGGATGAGCAGTCGCAGCCTCAATGGAACATGCACACAATGAAGAATATCTGTAGTAGGGAGAAAGCAGTTGGATGGGCTCGGGTGGAGCTCTTCTTTAAATGTACACTCTGATCTCACGTTTTCCGATTTAGCTCATGCGTAACTAGGTTTAATCGCTCGGGCACCGTTGTAAGAATCTGCTTTTTTAGTGTTGGCCCAAACCTCCCGTAGTATCCAACTCGACAGTCTCCCAAACATCACCAATTTGCGAAAAACAACTCGATCTATTTACAATAAAACATACCTAAATAAATGAATATCAAACGCCGGGTGACCAAAATGTTGGAAAATTTAGTTCAATAAGTGAACCGGTCACCCTTCTCAGATTTCTGCAGCTGGGAATTTGTCTGCCCCATTTTTTTTTTTTTTTTTGAAACCATACTTGAAGGTAATGTAGTAACAATCGAAATTTTTTTAACAAGAAAACCCTTTGACTCAAAATTTGATTCCTAAAGTGTGTAAGTGGAACCGAAAGGGTAGTAATATAATCTGAATGGTCTAAGCGAGAAAATGACCATGTGTGGATCACAAAGATGTAATTTAACTCCTTTTCAAACTTGTAATTAATTTTTTTATATAACAAAGAAAAATTCCACATGCGGACTAAAAGACTTCCCTAAAATCCTAAGAAAATCGCAAAAAGATATGGTGATGTAAAGAGACCGGATATGGATTCTACTCAGGGACAAGAACTAGTGCTTCATCCTAACGGTTCAAACATGATCAAGTGTGATCCTCTCGGTGGTAGTGACCGCAAGGCTAAGACATCCATTGCTATAGTATATCCTACAGTCATTAGTATTGTATGCATAATTCTTCATGAAAACTACCTAGCGATGATCACTTACCCCTTTAAGCTACCAGCATCGGATCCCAAGTATGAAATCCCAAACCGCAGCTAATGGTCTCGGTTCGATGGGCAAGATAGCAACAAGATCCTGGACCAATAATGATACAATAACTGTGAACCTGTTCCATAGCATCCAAGGAGGTGAGAATAAACAGACAACAAAAATGCATGAATGTTAATGCCCTAAGCTAAATGTTATGCAAAAATATAAAAGGTGTAAAAGAAGAAAATAAAATCTTTTTGGAATTTTATATAGAAAAATGAATGAAAATTAGCTTAAAACTAAAATGTTATGCAACCTAGTTAAAAATGCATGAAAAAGTAAAAGATAAGGGAAATGCCCCACCCCAAGCTTAAGAACAAGAATTATCCTCATTGCTTGAGGAAAAGGCGGAAAGGACCTAAATCGGAGGGTCGGGCGGCAGGAAATGCCCATGGCGATAGTGGTACTCCCACATATCCTGGACCTGGTGGGAAGTGGGATGGAAGGACTGCTCCAATAGATCAACGCGACTCGCCACATCTTGGATGGCTCTCGTATTCTCTTGCGTTTAGGTATCGATGCCCTGCACTGTGGAGAACATTGTGGCAAATTGGTCAAAGAACGTAGGGGGAAATATGGTGGGACTTCGTGTCCCCCCTGCTAACGCGGCTGGTCAATACATTATGGAGGAGCCTGGAATTGGTCATGCTGAAACATCGACTGTTGCATCGAAGGATGGTCAAAATGGTCCTCAGCTTCGGGCATCTCGTCGTCCTCTTCGTCATCATCTTCCTCTTGTTCCTCTGCATCATCACCCTCACCATGACCGAATTCTGGGAATACACCTGCGTGGGTCAACTGATCTGGAGGAAGCCAAGTGTCGGGGTCGTATGTGTCGAATGAAGAACCGATAAACTTCGCAGGATGTAAATCGGGGCTTTGTCAGAGTCTAACCAACTGTACGTGCAGGTTCCCCGATTGAGCAACATTTCCATCCGGATGAGAGCGTCACAGTCTAGCAGGAAGTTCGGTGGGGTGTCAACATGTATGTACTCAGGAGCCAGGAAGTCTAGTCCAATGGCTCGACCTATGATCGTGATAAGTCCCCCGATGAAAATTTCCCCTGTGGAATGCTGGCGTATGGAGTCGCATTTGTCTACAAAGAAGCCTGAAAAACTGAGGGGGAGTTCACGCCTCATGCTTCGGATGAAAAATAGCTCACATCTGTTGATTTGATAGGGCTCGAGATGCCCGAAGATGCTTTTCGTGAGAACTCGATGAGCAATTCGCCAGCAAGGGTGAACAATGTGCTTGGCACGCTGTCGGCTCGGGTTGTGGGTAGTGAGACCGGAAATCTGCATCCAAAAGTTTACATCTGGGTTACGCAGAAAATCTTGGTACTCTTGATTTTGGGAGTTGATGCAGAATGGATAATCTATACCCATGATGGAATCAAGGTCTTCGTATGTGAGCCTATGATGCTCCCCTTTCAACTAGAATGTGAGGACTCCCGTTGCATAATCTCGTGCATAAGTGCTAAGAAATTCCATTATGGCTTCCTCGTAAGTTCTATCACAAAGTCGAAGAAAACCACGCCAACCCAGTTGTAGGAACAAATTGTATACACCATCACGTACCCCAAGCTTTTTCATGAACTTTCTATGGTTGAATTTTGTTGGTGGGATTGTCCGACCCCGACGGTTGGAGAGATAGGTTTTGATTTCAGCATTTGTAAGGGAAAGATCGCTTCCCTCTTCTCCTCTTTTTTTCGTTTACCGGCTGCTTTGCGTGATGGACCGGCGACATCCTTTTGCGGGTTAGGATCGATCAATTATCCATGGGTGCGTATCTGAGTTAAGGTTTTGCCCATTTCAAAACCTACAATATCAAAAACAATTTCACCAACGTAATCCCTCACCTCACCACTCTCAAATCAATGCAACTATCTTTAAACCGAACACATAAATTCCAAGAAATAATGGCACCCAACTTTTGACAATTTAAAATAGTTTCAACAACACCACTCAGTTAATTTGACAATCCCAACAAAAATTTAGCAGCATTACGAGACAAAATGAGAATATCCCAACTAAAGTTTAAACAATTTTTGAACAAATTTCCAAGCAAATTAACCAATCTCATCCATTCTCAAATTAATGTTTCCAAATAAACCGGGCAACAACTAACGATCCTAGGTAATTTTCAAAGCATAATTGGATGCAATTATCTAATTGGAACAATGCAATGTGATAAAAACCAAGGAAAGAAAATACCCGAATTGTCCCAAAATTGAACTTGAACACATAATCCGCTACCGTGCACCCCAAGCTTTGTGGTTATTCATGGGTGCCAAAATGCAAGACTTGTTCACTAAAGGAATATTTTCAACTTGATTTGTGTGAAAAATCCGGCGGCGCCTCGTGGAGGCTCAAAATTCCTGGGAAAATTTTTGGTGAGATTTTGAGGTTTTGTTCGGTTAGATGTAAAGTGCGTGGAAAAAGAAACACTTTGGTGGTGTCGGAATTGCGAGAGGTGGCTGGAGTTGGCCGGAAAATGGCCGGAAAACGGCGAGTTGGGTGGTGGTGGCTCCCATAAACCCGACAATGGATCAGAGTAAAGTTTGGGTGGGGTTTCTAGAGCACGGAAAATGGTGAAGAATGGAGGTGGTCTCGTCGGATTCCGACCGGTAGAACTCCGGGAAATCGATTTTTAGTGAAAAGTGGGTTTATGTGTTCTTGAGAGTTTGAGAGACAATGGTGCGTGTTTGAGAGAATGAAATGAGGAAGAAGAGTTGCTGGAGGTTTTCAATCCATATTCAAGTGTGGTCAACACCCGATCAATGTTGGTCAACTCATTAAAACACCTGGTCAACGAAAGTCAAAGCTAGTCAACAAAATAGGGGTTGGTCGTCAAGGCAGCACGCGGGTCGCGTAGGGTTGGCACGCGGGTCGCGCAACTTATGCGTTTTCAAGGGTAGCTTTTGTTGCATGGAGAAGGCTGGCCGCGCACCCGTGCGCGGGTCGCGAAGCATCCTGCTCCCGGTTCTTGATTTTTCTTCGTTTTCTTCCGTTTCTTCACTAGTTCTTGATTCAGAAGGCCCCAAACACCTAGAAACTCTTGATTTCTTCAAAAATGACTTCAAAAGTCGCATCAAAACATTTTCAAAAGTTCTTTATTCAAAAGTAGAATCATGAAAGCATAAAGCTTTCCAAAAATGCCCCTCTTTAATGTCTTAGGCGAGACGTCCTTCTAGCTTGGTTCAACACACCGGGACATCCAAGTGGATGATTTCAATAACACTTGCATTAAAACCTTCATATAATGGCTTTAATCGGTGCCCATTGACTTTGAAAATTTGTCCCGTTTCTTCACTTTAGATTTTGACCGCTCCATGGTTAAAAGTCTTTATTACAACAAATGGGCCAATCCACCATGATCTTAACTTGCCCGGGAATAACTTCAATCGTGAATGGTAAAGTAAGACCCTATGCCCCAGTTCAAAATTCTTCCGGGTGATGCATTTGTCGTGGAAAAGCTTCGTTTTTTCCTTGTAACTTCTCGAGTTTTCATAAGAGTCATTTCTCAATTTTTTTAAATCTTGAAGTTGAAGCATTCTATGTCTTCCCGCCTCATCAATATTGAAATTGCATTTTTTAACCGCCCAAAATGCACGGTGCTCTAACTCGACGGGAAGATCACAAGATTTTCCAAAAACCAGTCTGAAGGGCAACATTCCTATCGCGGTCTTATAAGCGGTCTGATAGGCCCATAAGGCATCATCAAGTCTAAAACTCCAATCCTTCCTTGTCGGATTCACTGTTTTCTCTAGAATAGACTTCACATCACGATTCGAAACCTCCACTTGACCATTCGTTTGAGGGTGGTAGGCAGTAGAGACACGATGGGTTACGTTGTACTTCTTCAATAGAGCCTCCATCATTTTGTTGCAAAAGTGCGTCCCTCTATCACTAATCAAAGCCCTAGGTACACCAAACCTCACAAAAACATTAGACTCCAAAAACTCAATAACCGTTTTGGCATCGTCCGATCTTGTGGCTTTGGCCTCAACGCATTTAGAAACATAGTCAACCACGAGAAAAATATAAACGTTGCCAAATGAGACGGGAAATGGGCCCAAGAAATCAATCCCCTATATGTCAAAAATTTCACAAACAAGGATTGGATTTTAGGGCATTTGGTTCTTTTGCAAAATGTTTCCCGTCCTTTGGCACCGTTCACAACTTTTGCAAAACAAGTAACAATCATGGGACATGGTTGGCCAAAATAGTCCACACTCAAGGACCTTTCTCAAAGTCCAGCTACATCCGAAGTGTCAATCACAAGCAAATTCATGACAAAATTGCAAAATTTACTGGTGCTCTTGTTGGGGTACACATCGCCTAATGATTTGATCGGGACAATGTTTCCACAAATAAGGTTCATCCCACACATAGTATTTTGCATCACTTTTCAACTAGTCTTTTTGAGCAGGTGTGAATGTGTCGGGATAACTTTTTGTGACCAAAAAGTTAACGATATCGGCATACCAAGGAATAGATTGAGTAAGGGAAAAGAGATGCTCATCCGGAAACTCGTCCCGCAATGGGAGAGGAGTTTCATTTGAAGTGATACGGATTAGATGATCGGCAACGAGGTTCTCGCATCTGCTCTTGTCCCGGATTTCCATGTCGAATTCTTGTAACAGTAGGATCCAACGGATGAGTCTCGGCTTTTCATATTTCTTCGTCATCAAGTACTTAAGTGTTGCGTGATCCGAATACACTGCAACCTTGGTACCAAGTAGGTATTGTCTAAATTTCTCCAAGGCGAACACTATGGCCAATAGCTCCTTCTCCGTGGTAGAGTAGTTGCTTTGATCATTGTTTAGTGTCCTTGATGCATAGTAGATCACGTGGGAGGCCCTCCCATTCTTTTAACCCAAAACGGCGCCTATTGCATAGTTTCTTGCATCACACATGATCTCAAAGGGGAGATCCCAATTTGGTGCTTGCATGATGGGAGCGGATGTAAGCAACTCTTTGTGTAACGACCCAAAATTTAAGACCGAAAATTTCTTTTAATAAATCATTTCTTAAAGTAACGTCATCATACCAAAACATAATATGAGTATAAGTTTTCAAAACACATATTCAATATAAGAGTAAACATTCCCAGGTTGTCTAATCCATGGTGTGTGCCATGCGATCACCCCGAGCTCTTCCCTCCACTACCGGAAGTACCTGAAACCAAAACTGAAAACCGTATGCACGAAGCTTAGTGAGTTCCCCACCCTACCACATACCACACATAACCACATATTGCACATATTGGGCCACACCCGCTACCTTGGGCCTCGCCCGCTACAACGGCCCCGCCGCTCCAGGCCCCGCCTGGCTTCGAGCCCTGCTCGGGTACAAATCTATTTTACTTAGGCCTCGCCTGTCACAGGGCCTCGCCCGCCAACAAATAATAACACATAAACATTTCACAACACATAACTAACACATGCAACTAGTTCTGTCCTAAGGCCTCGCCTATCCTAGGCCCCGCCCATGTCCTGCTACTGATGAGTCATGGAACCCCGTCCATGCTCCTAATGGTAGTGAGGTACGGGCCTAGCCCACGATCACTCCTGTTCTAGTTTGGGCCTCGCCCCTATTCTGCTACTAATGAGATATGGAACCCCATCCACGCTCTACTATTGGTGAGATACGGGACCTCGCCCATACTCACCTCCCTACCAGGCACATACATGTATCACACAAACAACAAGTATAATCTATATAAATGAATCCTTGAGCACCCGCCCGCTATTACTGGACCTCGTCCTGAATATCATACTAGCATACCGTGCCCAGGGCTAACGCCCGGGTCTTCTACTCATGACTACATGGGCCGGCATTGTGGCCTTAGACCCATTCACACAAAGGGAAACTCACCTGCACTGGCTGAACTTGCTGATGATCTCACTAGCTGCTGCCCGACAACTCCCGGAACTCCTGCTCCCCTTGCTCCCCGAACTACCAATATCAATGCAACACTGAGTCTAACTGTCCCCCGACAGACAACCAAGTCAACCCTGGTGCAAGTCAAAGTCCTGGTCAAGGTCAACCTTCCAGGTTAACCCTACTCGCCGAGTAACCCTACTGATTTGCGAAGTTCATAATGTTGAGATTCCTTCCATTCCCGACTCGAGTCG